TCCAATTTTATGATTTTTTCAATTTATTTTGTGACTTTAAAAATAAAAAAAAATGTATTTTTGGCATTTATCTTCGAATAACTATTTTTTTTTTTTTTTAATTTGTTTAAAGTCGCATAAACTACTAAGGTCATGAGCGACTACGGTAGGGGGTACACTTTTGAGATTGGAACTCGTTTGTATTTCTTGGGCTGAGCAGAATAATACACTTAAATATTGAAAATATTCATTGGTGTACGCCGGATTCGAACCCGGTCCAATGCTTTGGTAGCAAGGGCCGGATCCGATAGGCTACTGCGCGCTTTTAAAAATTTGATATTATAATAAAGAATTCAGAATGATTTTTTTTGTTTTTTTTTCATGCGTGAATTCTTTTAATAATAGTAATAGTTCATTATGAACATAATTAGAAATACATTTCCAATTTTAGATTTCAATAAATATATATCTTTATCTACTTATAAAATGTTTGATTCTGAATTTTTTACACGAGATTGAAAAAATAATAAAAAATGCATGAATATACTATTTAAAATTCCAAGTAAAGACTATTTAAATCTAATCCATCTTCAATAATAAATATTCAATTTTAATTCATGATCATTAAGATTCCTTAAATTAATGTCATTCTTAAAAAGCTTTATTTTTACGAATCAAAATCCAACCTTTTTACAGCCTGATAACTGATAAATTTTTTTTCTTTAGATTGACCCGACGAAAAATTGAATAATTAACTAAATTTTCAAGTTTGTTAGATCATTGTGATTTTTTTAAATCCTACCAAAAAAAACATTTCACCTTAGTCAAAAAATTTTAAATCGTCCTACTTTTCACCTGTATAAGTTATTCACGCCATCTCCGGCCATTCTTATTACAGTTTCAAATTGTTTAATTTTCATAAATAATGCAACTTAAAAATTCAAAATTCACGTTACGTTATAACAATAAACATTCATCAAAAAATGGTAAAAATTTGAGCCAGTAAAAATGAACTGTAGTAATCGAAGTTTGAAATAAAAAAAAAATTGGAAGATAAATTAGTGTAATTAATAATTGAACTATTTATAATAATGTGATTTATAAAAATCATAGGTAGGGTTAAAAATATTAAAGTATTTGAGCAAAAGTCATTCAAATGATTATATATTTTTTTAAAGTGGGTTCAAAAATAACATTATACTTGATATGATAATAATTGTGCACTTTGGATATTCAGCTCCTCATATATACTTACATATATAATAATAATTATGATTATTATTATTATAACTATAAAAACATATTGCAATGACTTGTTACCCTGTGTTTGATACCTACAGAATATTTGTCATAAAAAAACTATTTTACAACTTTCAAGTATATGAGTAAATAAATCACAATAAATACAAATATATTTTTAAAAATGAAATTGATTCCTAAATGAAATATTTGATATCACCTGACTTTTTTGATACAATTTTATGTTTTTATTTTTAAATAATACTCCTCCTCGAATACATTTATTCATGTGATTGATTGATTCCAAAAATGATAAGGAAATCAAATATATATTAATTACACACTAAATATTGCACTATAAATTTTTTCCATTCATCCGTTTCCATTCCGCTAATAAGAAAAGAAAATCATTATTCGATAAGTCTATTTAATCTCTCTAAAAAATTACTTACTCACTACATTTGTACAACTTACAAATATCTTTGCATTATTTTAAATAAACCTGTTTCTTATTTTAAAGTATCCCTTAGATTTTTATCTAAGTTATTCTTATTTCATTTATATTGGTATTGCTGTAATTACGTACATATTACTTAATACATTTTATATTTTTTCTTACTACGCTGGTCGAAAGTACGGGGTTTCTGTTGCGATTTCACTGCAGAAAGCCTGACATTTATGCCGTGGTCGAGTCGCGCATGCGCTTTACGACGGGGAGCCGAAAAAATGTATTCATGCACTGACAACGAGACACGAGGCGGCAGAAAGTCCGAAAGTCGGTAGTCGCGCTCACTCTATTACTTATGTTTACAAGCCTAACCTTACTTGTGATTGTTATGAATGTATCTGAATGTATCGGTCTTGTTATGTGTCAATGATTTGAGGTTGAAACTGAGTTAATTACAGAAAATAAATATTTATTTTAATGAAAATTAAAATAGCAGATATTTAATAAATTTTAGAATTAAAAAAAAAATAAATTAGTGCAAAAAAAAAATTAGAAAAAAAATTGAAATGTAGAAATTTTAAAAAATTAAAAAAGCAATTTTTTATAAATAATTTTTTAATAGAAATTTTTATAAGCTTTTTTTTCATTATAATTTGTATAAAAATTAAAAAAATTGACAGCTATCAGCTAACTTCAGTATAATAGTAAAATAATCAAGTGCTTCCCTCTACAAAGTTTGCCGTCTCCGAGTCTGGCCTTTATTTAATGGCTGCTTGAAGATTTCATCGTAGCCATATTCTACTGTGTTTTAAGGAAAAAAATCACAGACGGTAATTATTGTTTTATTAATAAAATAACACTAATTAGTAAAGAAAAAACTCCCAACTGTAGTGACAGGCAATTAAGAGAATTTTTTTAATCAGTGAAGCTAGTTTTGATTGACAAATATTACCACTTAGAGTAACTAGTATACACTATATGGGCAGAAATTTGAGAGCCCTGAACTGCGTGCCATGATGCCCTCGGCTTCGCCTCGGGCATATGGCGCGCAGTGCAGGAATCTCAAACTTTCTGCCCTCGTAGTGTAATATACTATTTCTCCCTCTATTTTCTTCCCGACACAAGTATGTTTATACAAAACAATAATAATAATTATAATAAATAAATAAAATTAAAACATCCTCATTTCATTAGATATATCGAAAGTAAATTTTCAATTAAACTATAAATCCAAATAAACATACAACGCTATTGTATTGTTTTTGTTTTAATAACTATATGGTATTGCTTGATCGATATGATTATAATACAGTCTTTTCACACTGATTGTCCTATATCACTATTTAACTCTTGGTTTGAAATTTAATTATCATCCGATCACTTTTTTCAAGCTTATGTTCATCATCCATTAATTATATATTTATTTGTGTATATTAGAATTATTATCAATCTAACGCTAAATATCCGTTTCAGGATAAGTGTAGGTATTAGTACAGTTGATAACGTAGAAAAAATTTCAACGGATGTTCTACAAGTTGAGTAGCATCAAATACTTTGAATTGTTTAATTTCCATTTTTAGTAAAAAAAAAAAAATATTTTATAATTTTTTAAATTCAAAGCCAATTTTTTTCTCAATTGTAAGCAATTTAATGTTTAGTATTAGTTATTTTCCAAACGTGTAAGTTAAGCTATAGTCATAATATGTCAAGCGTAATGTTTTTGGCAAGAGTAGTAAGTCTACTCCCAGTTGCAGTGAGTCCTTATGACACATTCTAAAAACATTGACTCAGTCATTGACGAATAATGACTGAGTTTACGTATCGCGAACTTTCTCCTACGGAAAAAGTGTACATGAAAACGTATGAAAAATTTATATGCACTCATACATCTAATTTATATGTATTTTTACCGAAAACGTAAATGAAAATTTTTTTACATATTTCCCTATATGTTTTCATAAACATTTTTTCCGAGAGGGTTGAATGATTACTTGGCGCAAGCCACAGCCGTGCTTTTGGATTGAGTATTTTCTAATACTTTTTTCAATTTATGTTATTATATAGTAAAGGTTAATTCTAAATTTTAAACATTAAATCGTCTATATATTTTTGAGTGAGATATGATCAATAAAGCATTGTTGATTTACAAAAAAAAGTCAAAAAATTCACACTAATACCTTCACTTACCCTAAATACAGAAAAAGTATTTTAACAGTTAAAAAATGAAAGCTGTTAAATTCCTTCACTAAAAAACGTTTTGCTTGTACTTTTCCAAGTGATTGTAAGCTTACATGTACGATATCCATAGCCGTATTTATCGGCATATATACGTTACTCTAGTCGGTTTGGTACATGTTTTTAAAACAAAAGTAAAGGTATATAAACTAGCCACTAGTGTGGGAATCATATTCGTCCATCCACAATGCACGTTATATCCATAATTTTATTCCTTTATTTTTCTTCTTGATTTTTCTTTGATAGTTTAAAATAATATTTCTCGTCATACACACACACACACATATATATATATATATATATATATATATATATATATATATATATATAGTATTCTATCCGTGTGTGTGGGTTGAACGACGTTAAATTTCATACGTCTGATCTATAGACTCCAAGTGGGTTACGTTTGATCGATTTGACCGCAAGTGTGCTTTACACAATACAAGGACAAGAAGAAAACGAGAGGGAGAAATCCGTTGAATAAAATAATTTTTATATTTATCAATTAATAAATAAATATAAATATAATTAAAAAAGAAAAAATCAAACAAATCCTGATAGAATAAGTGAGAGTAAGAGAGAGAAAAAATTAAGGTGAGAATAAAATAAAAAGGTAAGACAGTTTAAAGGAGGAAGCTGAACTCTCTCTTTCTCTCTCTGTATCTATCTATGTATCTCTCTCTCTCTCTCTCTGAAAAATATTCAAGTCTCTTTAAAATAACAATAATTACAATTTTTAATAATAATGATCACTTTTATCAAAGACTAGCATAGTTTTTTCCATATTATGATTCAGTGTATTAATCCAACAATTTTCCACGCACTGAATTTGCCGTCACTTGAATGTTTTTTTATAAACAATCTATTTATTTAAATTAAGAATATTATATTACTTTGTTTATTAATTTATTTATTAAAACTATTCTTCATTAGTGTAACAACAATTCTGACACCCACCAGCTCTGCAATAGATATTTCTATCATTATTGATAACCTACGGCCATCCTTGATACTCCCCGAGAGGTTCGGGCTTCGGTTCAAGGTTCGTAGGCGCTGGTGGCGGGTACAGTCAGTTTTGCTGTCACAAACCACCCTCGGGTCAATGCTGAGCTGCGAATTTCATGCGTTTCTGCTTTTGTCGCTGATTGCAGAACCAAACTCTGACAACATTTTTTTTGAGGTCCAATTTTTCAGCGATTGCGGCGATTTTTTCTCCGGAGGGCCGCGGCTGGACCGCGAAGAACGCTTCTAGTGAGCGTTTTTCCGGTGCAGCAATACTCGTGCGTTTCCGCTTCTTTTCGCCGGCCGGAAGGACTGAGGGGGCGTCAGGGTCGCGTCTCTTGTTCTTAGCTTGGGCTTCGGCCTCCTCCAGCCAGGCCTGAAGAATCGGCTTCAACGCTATCATGTTGTTGTGAGAAAGAGTCAGCGACTCAAAGCGACATATCGTGGACTGGGAAAGTGCACCAACGCCGGGTAGTTTTAGGTTAGCGAGGGCCTTACCGACGTCCGCTTGGGTCACGCCTAACTTTATACGTCTCTGCTTGAATCTTTCTGCGAAGGCTTCAAGTTCTCGGGGGTCTGTGTCTGCATCAGGATGAAGCCCAGCTGCTGCTGCCGCTGCGGCTGCTGCGGCCATCGCTGGGTGGTGGGGGTGGGGAACACTTCCGCCAATATTCGCGTGGTGGTGGTGGCTCATCATGCCGTTCATTCCGCCGTAGACTGAGGGCCCGTGGATTCCGCCGTGATGGCCTGGTCCGCCGCCACCCCCGCCTCCACCTTCGGACATCGGGGTCAGCGTGGTCATTGAGTTCGCTGGATCCAACATGTCTAGGCTCTCCATCCCCGGGTGACTCATCTGCAAGCATCGAGCGATCATCTTTTAATTCGCGCAAGTCATAAATTTATTACTTTTTCAGTGGGTCGAGGGTCTAAGATTTTTTTCCTGTTTTAATCTCTAGACCCTCGATTAAGCTATTGATTTATTAGTCGTTCATTTAACATTTTATTGGAGTTTTAAAAATTTATAAATTTACTAAGAGAAGGATTTATTAATGATTGATAAATACATTGCGTTACTAATGCGAAAGGGTGTATCCCGAATAATACGCCCTATTCGAAAAACTATTATTGAATTCAGTTAAATTTTTAACAATTAATTGTTTTTTTTTTATTTTCAATTTTTATAGGCAGGAGTTCACGACGTTTAATGTTTGAAGCAGGAAATTATAAAACAGAATTAAAAAATTTTTTTATCTACGCCCTTTTGACTTTAAAAATTTGTTATCTTAGAGCCAAAATGGCGTAATTCAAAAAATTTTTATTTCTTATTTATTCAGTAAATTTCTACTTTTGTACCGTTCCTTTGGAAAAAAAAAAAATATTTTTTTAACGCCCTTTTGCCATGGAACAAATTATTAAATTTATGAAATACTTTATTGAAATGGAATCACTTGATTCAAGGATAATAATATTTTCACTCGTTTTAAAAATTTTAGTCTTAAACGAACCACTTTACTAGTTTCAAACAAGATAATCAATATTTCACTCTGGAATTTCTTTCTCTTGAATTAAGTAATTTTTTTTTTGGGTGCAATATTTTTCAAATAGCGATAAATTAATTTTATAAAGTTGATCTAATGTACCGATACCTACATTCTAATAAACTATGTACCATGAAAATTGAATTTAATTCTTTTGAAAAATAGAAAATAGAATAGATGCTGATCAAAAAAAAACTTAATTAAAGAAAAAAAATCTTGAACCAAGAAGATCATTTTGAAGAGTTTTTTAATCTTGATTCATCCAAAAAAGTTCTTAATCAAAACAAAATTTACCTAAATCAAAGAAATTCTCTTCGAAATTATTTTTTCTATATGAAATTATTTTTTATTTTTTAAAAGTTTAAATCTTTCAGTTACTATTTCTAAATAACTTTTATCGTCAAATATTTTAAATATGATATATATTACAATATGGATATTGATTTATTCATTGAAGCCATTAATATGGTTATATTAACAATTAACGAATATTTGCTTAATTTACTCTATTCAACTCTAATCTTATTTGAAAACCGAATTTGTTTCATTTTACCTCGGTTTTTTCTTACCCTTTCAACGGCATACTAAAAATTGACCTTTAGATTTCATTTATTCATTTACTTACATGAGTGCAACAAACAAACTATTTTCCACGTGTCCTACCGTAACTTCTAACTTGTACACGGAAATTTTCACCTTTGAAAGAAATGTTATTTCATGTTTTTAATGATACTTTTATGAATAACTTTCTTAAAAAAACTTTAATTCTAGTCTATAACCTTTTCTGCCTTGTATTTCGATTTTTTACTCGCGCGACAGAATAATCCATAAGGGCGCTACGCTATATATACGCTAAACACTTTGTGAATAGTTTTTTGTAAAAGTAAAAAAAATAGTTGTTTTTTTTTTATTCATGTATAACACGAAACAAATAAAGATAAAAAATGTATTTTATAAAATAACAATATTAATTATGAAAAATATATAAAATGTTTATAGAGATGGAAAGTTTTTTACAAATTGTTCCTTTATGGAAGATTAATTCCATGGTAATTTAATTATCACTCCTGTCGGATTTAATAGGGTACTAAGGCCAGAAACATGTTATAGTTAGTGAAGTTGACTAGCCTTTTCTACTACTGAATCCATATGACCCTCGTTTCGAGCGACGGCACGCGCCAAATTTCATGCCAAGGGGAGAGTAATAGATATTAACGTGTTTAACAATCGCAAAGGGTTTAGATTTAATTTGTAATTCAAACATGTTTATTACTTTGAATTATTGTCCATTTTTCAATCATCCTTCGAAAATAATTCAAATTGTAAAAAAAATTTTTAAACATATTAATTTTCTTTATAAATGATTAATAAATTTGATGAACTACTGAACTGATAATTTAGAGGAATCAAATATATCCCGAATTCACAATAAAAAAAAATGAAAGTATTGGTTAAACGTAAATTGTTTCAGTATCGTACATAAGTGGATTATTGTGAATACAACGCGTACATACACAATTATCCATGAACATGTGCCACGTGCTGTGACCGTAGGTAGTCAGTAGTTACTCATACCCTCGACCCCCTTACAAATTATTTATGAGCTCTTCTAATATTTTTAAAACCAAACGCTGGTGTAATTTGACACTTGTGTTCTCTCTTATTTCAATCAAAAATATCTAATTACAATCTCGACTTCAATTATTTTAACAAGATTTCAAATGTTGAAAGTTATTTTATTGCAATACAAAAAAAATTTATAAATAGTACAATCTAGTACATTGAAAAAAATTTTAATACTGAAAAAAAACATTATTTGGATTAAGAGAAGTATTGCTGATCCAAAAAAAATAACTTGAAATGAGCCTTACGACTTGAGTCAAGAATTTTTTGCCTTGAAACTCGTTTTCTTAGCGTAGAAAGATTAGAAATCTTCGATTAAGAGTATATTATCTTTGTGGGACACAACTAAATTCTTCATCGAAAAATACAATTTCTTTTCTTTGAGAATAATTCCGTTTCCTTTTAAGATTTTTATATTATTGATTTAAGAAAAAATGTCTTCGTCTTAAATAAAAAAAAACTGAGAAAAAAAATTTTTTCTTAATCTATTCTGAAATATGTTTGAGATTTATTTTTAAAAGTAAGATAGCAAATATCCAAATTTAATAAATGTTGATATTCTTGAATCAACGTTACCGCCTATTTTTAATAAAAAAAAAAAAAAATTTTAAGTGATATATAGATTATCTTGTTTGAAAATAGTTAAATCATTTGCTTAAGATTTAAATTCCTGAATAAATAATTTTTTGTCCTTATTCAAGACCTTTCGGCTGCCCAACTTCAAAACACAGTAACTAACATTTAAAAATTTTTTTCAATTTTTCTTATTAAAAAAAAGTTTACCCGCTAAATTAATGACAAATTTGATTTATGAATAGAAAATACTCAAATATAAATATTTTTAAGAAAAAAAAATGGAAATTAAGGTTTAAAAGTTATAAAAAATGCAGCAATACTAAAAAAAAATCAGGTATAAAAATTTTGCAGTTACTGTGTTTTAAAATTGGGCAGCCGCTTTATATTCATAAATTTCTTAAATTATGAGAGCTGGATATTTCGAAACAAGAATGAAATTTTGAAAAGAATATTTTTCTTGAATCAAGTAGCTTTTTTTTTTCAGTGTAGAACTTCATTTTCTCATAAAATTTCTTACTCGACAATAAAAATTTTTGATATATAGTACCCACATGATTTTCTAAATAGATATTTACTCATAATATTTCATAACTGACAAAGTGTAAAAACTTGTAAAAGAGGCAAAAAAAAAATTAGATACACGAAAATATTTGGTAGAACCCCTATTTTTCGACATCAGCCCAAATGGCACAGTTATATTCGAATCGAATTGGAATTAGGGTGGGTGTCGCGCCAGAAAACACGAGTGGTCAAAGTGGCGGTTTCACATCCTACAAAAGGTACGCGGCTGAGCATGCGATGGGTGAAAGAGAGAGAGGTGTAAAATTCATGTGTAATACACTCGGGAGAACCCACGCAATATTTCATCATTATTGTGACAACATGGTAGGGTTGTAAGCTATCTTCTTTCCCCAAAAAGTGTCTCACATTGTGTATGTGGTATGTCGTCGATTCTTTACCGGGTATCACAAACATTATATCACTATATATGAATCCAAGTATCAAAACTCATTACTCTTTACTCGTAACTCGGGACTCGGGCCGGCCCTTACACACATTATAACATCTATGAGATATATTTATGTATGTGTACAACAAATATATGTGTGTGTGTGTGTGTTTGTATGGGTGTGTGGAGGAAGAATGAGGTGGATAGTAGGTATGTCAAGTAAAGTCTACTTCTATGCTACATCACACGAATATATATATATATATATATATATATACACCACGTTTAGGCGATCGAAGTCCGACGTTTCAACGGCGCAGTCTCGATATCAAAATATCACGAGCGTGGTATGTATATAATAGGTCGATTTGACAACAGCGAAAGTGTTCATTTAAAGTCTCAGGTGACTTAATTCAATGAGAGACACCTCCGTTATTATTTTTAATATTTACCTTTTTATGAAAATTAATTTTTTTTTTTTTATGCTAAAATCCTATTTTTAACTTTCCGCTAAGAAAATTGAAAATTTTCAAAAATCGGGAAGTTATTGGTTTTACTCCGTTTTTCGAAAATCGAGTTTTCATCAGATCTCGACGTTTTGAGGTCCTAGAAAACTTCCCTGACTATTCCCGCGGTGATGTCGCCGTGTCTGTATGTATGTATGTGTGTGTGTGTGTGGGTGTGTGTATGTATATAAATCTCTCATAACTTTTGAACGGCTTATCCGATTCGATCGAAATAAGCGGCGTTCTAGAGTTTCATAGCCCTTAGATTTCTGATACTAGTTCAAAGAATTCTAGTCGATAAATTTTGAGAAATCTCGAAAATAAAATTTCCAAAAATTCGTCAATCGCAACCAGTCCGGTCAAAATCGGTTGATTCGATCGTGAGATACCGTTGTGGAAAAAAATTAGAAAAAATTATTTTTTCAGAATTTCTATGAAATTTAGGATTTGACTAGTTCGCGCTCTGAAATTTCTTAAAAAGCTCAAAAAACTGCGTTGAATTCCGTAAACCGCGAGAAAATTGGTTGATTCATTCAAAAGTTATTACGGTTTAAAAATTCAAAAAATACACTGAAAAAAAAGTTTTTTTATACCCGGAATACTGAATATTTTTTAGTCGAGTTTTCTTGTACGAAGTAAAAGTCAAGTTAAATATTTTAGATTTAAGAAAACTGGTATTTTA